CCGCTGCGGCTGCAGATTTACAACCTCGCTCTCTCCCTTCGCGGGTCTCCAGGCGAATCCGCCTCCGCGCCGGCGGTGCTCATCCTGCTCGGCCCTAGGGAAACCGCACCACAATTTCGGGTGAAAGCTGGCAGAGGGGAGGAAGGGGCACCGTTTAGTTGTGTAAACCAAGAGTCAGGGCAGGTTCGGTGTCTAACTTGGGTTTCGAAAGGAGAGGACCTTAAGGAGAGGACCCTAAATTTTAAGGAGAGGACCTTAAATCCGTGGGGTTTGTGAGAGGCAGGAGCTGCGAACGGGCTGTCCCGGAGGCTGTGTCCTCGGAGGTTTCACCTCGGGAGAAAGGCTTTTTTAACCAATGCTGCTCTCTTGAAAGGCCAAAAAAAAAAAAAAAAGCAAGCAAGCACAGCTTGCAGATGTCTGTTGGTGGGAGGAAGAGGAAGGCGTGGGGTGTGAAGCCAAAGAACTAAGAAACTCGCCGTCACCGTAACTCTGCCCCTCGGCGCTCTGTTGCCTGTGAGCGTCCGTCGTTCGCTGCTGAGCAGCACTTTGCTGGCAGGGGCTGAGAAACCCTCGCGCTGGTCACCTCTGGCCGTGGATGGTCAGACGTCTACTAAGGAGCGGTGCAGATTGCAGTCCCTCCTGCCCGGCAGGACCAGAGTGTTTTCTGCCGGATTTGCGCGGTGTTATGGGGACAGGCAGGGGCATGAGGGTGAGAGGCGCCCGGGGGAGGTGGTGGTTGAAGCCGGGAACAAGGTTGGTCCGTGGCACGTTGCCCAGAGCTCGTAGCCAGCTCCATTCGGTGCAACCTGCCTTTCACGCTTGCACCGGAGCAAGCGGTCTCGAGCTGCCGCATGTCCTGACTGGGGATCGCCGTGGCGGAAAGACCAAACCGTTCTTTGGGGGACACACCGATAAGCAAGCATGGTGGTGGCAGGGGAGGTTTTCTAGGGGACTGATAAGAAGCGGCTACGCTTACAGGCTTGCGTGCATGCCATCTCCCAGACGTGGTGAGAGGTGCGTGCGAGGTAAGTGGTGAGGTCTCCGTTTTGTTTTGAAAGGCTGCGGCGCGAGTTGGGGCTCCTGCAGTGCTTATCGTCAGAGGTGAGGAGCGCGGGTGACTTTTCTGGTCGAGGGGCTGGACGCGGCGCGTCGAACACGGCGCTCGCTGCACGGCGCAAGACCCCTGCGTGCGGCTCCCCCCGGCCAGCCCGCGCCACCACGCTTGACGAAGGCACGAGAGGACCATGCGGCCG